ACATTTATTTTGAATAACTTTTTTATCTGCCAGAGAACTCTGTATCTAGACACAAGTCATCCAAAGTGTTTCTTTTATTCTTTAAAAGCCAAAATAATGGATGGACGTCCATTTCTTATAGATACCCGTTCAAAAGTAAGGGACGACTGTCTATAATTTATGGAAAGGTGTCTTTAAAGTTTTTTTTTTATTTTTAAAATAAAATAATGGACGGGTGTCCATTTCTTACGGACGCCCGTCCACAATTTATGGATCGGCGTCCCCAAAGTTTTTTTTTTTTTAATTTCCATATTTAGATTAAGGACGGGCATCCCTTATTTGCGGGGCACCCGTCCAAAATGAAGGGACAGCCATCCATAACGTATGAATGGCCGTCCCTAATTTTTATAAAAAAAATAATCTATTTTACTTATGGACGGGCGTCCTTTAAATGGGGATGTCCGTCCGTAGTAAATGGACCTCTATCCATATAATATGGACAGGGGTCCATGTAAGTGAACGACCGTCCATATTTGATGGATGGCCGTTCACTAGGAAAATATTTAATAATGAGTCTAGATTGTTGGTGTGAGTCAACGGACACGTAGGCCGATACACGTTTTCGGTGCAAAAAAGTCAGCGTCGGTAGCTTTATTGTTTATTTATTGCAAGGCATCTCCCAAAGCACGTGGTCATACACGTGGCAAAGTGCTGTCCAGAGATGAAGCAATGATGCATATAAAAGCGGCAGTTGATGCTCGGAAAGAAAGTGGCTCTGACATTGTTGTTATGGCACGGACTTTAGAGGAAGCACTCTGGAGGTCAAGAGCTTTTGCTGATGCTGGGGCTGTTCTTTTCATTGATGCACTAGCTTCAAAAGAAGAGATGAAGGCATTCTGTGAAATCTCTTCTCTAGTTCCAAAAATGGTATGATATGTTTCTCTTGATATAACATGGGGTGAAATCTAATAGTGTTTAGATGATGTTGTTTGCACCCTAGAAGAACTGAATCTTTTGTAATGTAATATAGCGTATAAAAAATCTGTTAGGTCTTACAACAATTATTATCTGAGACAAGGGCGAACAATTTCTTCCTTTTAATTGTCTTTTCCGAAGTTGTAGAGTTCCCAGCATATTACCTGACAAATATCTATTGATTGTTTTGGTGAAAGCAGTGCATATTTTCCCCTGTGCTTTATGTCTCTGCCCACAGTTAATAATAATATACTGTAATTTCCCAAAAAGTGTCAATGTTTTTTTGTCTGTTCTTGGTTGCATTTATTGTGATTAGTAAATGTAATTTAGAGGCCTTAGAATTTTGAGAAGTTGGAACTGCTATTATTTTCTAGATGATAAGACAAATGAGAAAATAATATAGAAAATTTGGAAACACAATTCTGTAAAATGATTTATCTCCAGTTTGGGGCTTGTTGATTTAATGGATTACTTTGTGTGCTGTTTGATTCACACATATTTTTGGGATGCATCTCTATGGGCGGATCATTTAAATTATTATATCTTAACAAGCATATCTGATCATAGTTGCAGTAATATGTTGATGTCATTTGTATGAACTAATTTTATGCTGCTTCATGCTGACTTCAGCTCGTACTGAGGCTATTGATAGGAATCGTTCATCTGAGGAACTGAAAGGTCAGCTTCTACGCAGGTACAGCGGATACTTAGGTTGTCTCAAACAGGAGTTCATGAAGAAGAGGAAAAAAAGGAAGCTGCCTAAAGAAGCCAGACAACAATTGCTCGATTGGTGGAGCAGACATCACAAATGGCCTTACCCATCAGTATCTATATCTACCTTGCCTGTTCTTCATCATAAGGGCCTCTTTCTGTTTCCGTTGAATGTGCTGAACAGTAGAACATTAATGCTTGCTACTTGTCTATTGTAACGTTTTGTATGCTGTCTGACAGATTTGCACCTTCATTTGATTTTTATCTGTTTATTTCCCCTCTCAAAGGAAGAGACTTTTCTTATGATATCATTTAGCTCCATTCAGGAGTATACTAGCAGCCATGAACTAAATTAGACCAGTCATGTGCTACGTGCCTCACCGTGTGCCCTTAGTCAAGTACAATGGCCAAGTTGGTGAAACGGTTTAGCATTTTTTGTGTCAACAAAGCAACGTTATCTATCCACTCCTTTACCCAACTTGTAATGGAGTGGTCTTTGTGTTGAAACAGTGATAATTTGCTGGAAATTTGGTTGAAATTCAGTTGGTTTTTGAATCCGTTTTTGGCGCCAAAGAATTGCTGCTGTCTCCTCTATCTGCCGTGAATGGAGTGGTTGATTTTTAGAGACATGTTTAGGTGCAATCAGCTAAGATTAAGGATGTATTTGTTGTAAACCTTAGTTTTAAATTTAAAATTTGAATTGTCTGTTTTAGTTGGTGTAACAGCAAGCTTTTGGCTGTATAAATTATAATGTTGCATTGTAATGAAAGTAGACTTTCTCTCAACTCAAAATCTTTTTCATATTTTCCTCAGTATTCACTGGCACTACAGTTGGTATCAGAGCCACACTAAAAACCTAAAATCTCTCTTACACTCAATCATCCATCTCAGCTCAAGAACACCTCCCATCTCAGCTTAAGAACATTCTGCTCCAGCCTTCTTGTTTTTCCTGCTTTAGACATCTAAACTGAATCAATGGCTGCTCAATCAGCCTTGATGTCACCTCCAGTGTTTAATGGGGAACATTATCATATATGGGATGTAAAGATGAAAGCTTTTCTCTAGGGTCAGGGGCTGTGGCAGTATGTGGAAGAAAACATGCAGCCACCACCGTTGGGACCAAATCCTACTCTGAATCAGACGCGAATGCATGAGGAAGAAGCTGCCAAAACACCGAGAGCCCTATCCACATCCATGCTACTGTAACAGACTTTGTATTCACAAGGATTATGGCATATGAAACTCCAAAGGAGGCATGGGACAAGTTGAGAGAGGAATATATGGGAAGTAACACAACAAGGAACATGCAGGTGCTAAATTTAAGAAGAGAGTTTGAGATGCAAAGGATGCAAGAATCAGAGAAGGTTAAGGATTATGCTGATAGGTTGATGAGTGTTGTCAACAAAATAAGGCTGCTAGAACTGGAGTTAACAGATAAGAGAGTGGTGGGGAAAGTCTTGGTAAGCTTTCTTGAAAGATTTGAGTCCAAAATCTCCTCTCTTGAAGACTCAAGGGATATGGGGCAGGTTACTCTTACAGAGTTGGTTCATGTGCTGCAAGCACAAGAGTAAAGAAGGCTCTTGAGGCAAGAAGATGTAGGTGAAGGCGCAATGATGGCAACTCACAAAAGCAAATCAATTCAAGGGAACAATATGAGATATGTAGGTGATAAGAAGGGGAAAGAAATGAGCAATGGTCAACGGGGAAAACCAGGTGGGATGAAGGAATATCCACCTTGCTCTCACTGTAAAAGGAAGGGGCATTCTGAGAAAAGATGCTGGTTTAGGCCATATGGAGAGGGTTTGCAAGAACAAAGGAGAGCAACCCCAACAGCAAGCGCAGGTGACAGATGATCAACAACTTGAACAAGGGACAGAACAGCTGTTTGTAGCCTCCTATAGTGCAACACCAACAAGCTATAAAGGCTGTCTGGTTGACAATGGATGTACAAACAATATGACACCACACCTGTAGGATTTTGTCAAATTAAATCCAACACATCGGTCCAGGATCAAGATTGCAAATGGTGACTATGTTGAAGCAAAGGGAAAGGGAGATGTTGCAGTCCAAACCTCTATAAGTACACAACTCATTTCCAATGTACTCTATGCACTCGAAATTAGTCAAAGTTTTTTAAGTGTAGGACAAATGTTAGAAAAGAATTATGTCTTGCATTTTGAGAATCAAATCTGTCAAATTTTAGATAATAAGGGGTGTGAGTTGATGAAAGTTAAAATGGTGGGGAAAAGCTTTCCCATTAAGCTTAAAAGAACTAAAAAGAACAGAAAATAGAGCTTTTAATGTAAGGGTAGATGAGTTTGAGAAATGGCACATGAGACTTGTTCACTTTCATCATCAAGGTCTCAAGGAAATTCAGACAAGAAATTGGTCCAGAATTTGCCCGAAATAGAGGAGAGTAAAACTGTATGTCCAGCTTGTCAACTTGGCAAGTTGAGTAGGTAGTCTTTCCCTGTAAACCAAGCCTAGAGAGCAGCTGAAAAACTCCAGATCATTCATACAGGCGTGTGTGGTCCTATGGAAACCTTGTCATTGAGTGGAAGTAGGTATTCTGTATTGTTTATAGATAATTGGTCCATGATGTGTTGGGTGTATTTTTTGAAGCAAAAAGGAGAGGTTGCTATTGTATTTAAGCAGTTTAAGCAATTGGTGGAAAACCAAACTGGAAAAACTATAAAAATCTTAAGAAGTGATAATGGTACAGATACTTCTCAAGAGTTTGAAGCAAGGAAGCTAGAATTAGGCATCAATACAGTGACCTCTACACTCCACAACAAAATGGAGTCAGTGAGAGGAAGAACATATCAATTATAGAGATGGCAAGGTGTATGGTGGCAGAGAAGAGGTTGCCAAAGAATTTTTGGGCAAAAGCTGTCAACACAGTAGTGTTCCTGCTCAATAGGCTTCCCACAAAAGCCTTAGATAGCAAAACACCTTATGAAGCCTGGTATGGAGTTAAACCAGTAGTAGATAGGCCAAAAGTATTTGGAAGCATATGTTACATTTTGGTTCCAGCAGTAAAAAGATCCAAGCTGGATGAGAAGGCCTTAATTGACATTTTTATTGGTTACAGTAGTCAATCCAGAGCCTATAGAGTGTATGTTCCAGAAACCAAAAAAATTTAGATTTCCAGGGATGTCAAAATAGATGAGGATGGAGTTTGGAATTGGGAAAAAAATAGAGCTGATGTGGAGACAAGACCAAAATGGACAGAAGTTACAAGTGATCAGATTATTGAGGATGATGAGAGTGATATAAAATAAGAACTCTCGGTTAGAGATACCAGACCTTTAGTTGAGGTTTATGAGAGATTTAACATGGCTTCACTTGACCCAACATGTTACTTTGAAGCAACAAAATCAGAGGTTTGGAGAGCTGCCATGAAGGAGGAGCTGGTAATGATTGAGAAGAACCAAACTTGGAACCTGGTTGACAGACCTCAAAACAAAAAAGTAATTCAAGTTAAATGGATTTTCAAGAAGAAACTCAAACCGGATGGCTCAGTCTTTAAGCACAAAGCTAGGCTGGTTGTCAAAGGTTTTGCTCAATAGTATGAAGTTGACTTCCTAGATACTTTGCACCAGTTGCAAGGCGTGACACAATCAGGTTGTTACTTGTAGTGGCATCTTAGTTTGCATGGAAAAATTTTCAGTTAGACATCAAATCAGCCTTCCTCAATGGATGACTGAATGAGGAGATATATATTGAACAGCCGGAAGGGTACAAAATCAAGGGAAAAGAAGATAAAGTTTATCTCCTAAAGAAGGCCTTGTATGGCCTGAAACAGGTATCAAGTGTCTGGTACAGCAGGATCAATGATCGCTTATTGAGTTTGGATTTTGTAAGAAGTCCAAATGAGCACACATTGTATGTTAAGAGAGATTGATGAAGATGTGTTGATTATCTCCTTTTATGTTGATGACCTACTTGTGATAGGGAGCAAACCAACTCAGCTGGAGGAATTCAAGAAATCCATGTTTGATGAGTTTGAGATGACAGATTTAGGTGAAATGGCTTACTTTCTTAGGATGCAGGTTTATCAAAGCTCAGCTGGAATTTTTGTTAAACAAGAGAAGTATGCAATCGAAGTTTTAAGGAAATTCAATATGGAGAATTGCAAATCAGTGGACATTCCATTGGTTCCTAATCAAAAGTTGTCAAAGGATGATGATGTAGAAAGTGTTGATGAAGGGCATTATAGGAGCTTGGTTGGCTGCTTGTTGTACCTAACAGCAACAGGACCTGATATCATGTTTGCTACAAGTTTGTTGTCCAAGTTTATGAATCAGCCCAAGGAAACACACATCAAAGCTGCAAAAAGAGTGCTAAGATATGTAAATTAATTTGTTACTTTAAAAAGGGGTGTTTTAAGATGTTTTCTACTGCAGAGTCATGCATTTATGAGAGTTGATGACAGTATCCCTCATGTAAAGTTTTGCAGCTTTGGTTGTCCAATCGCTGTAAGTATGTTTACCTAATTTTATGTAAGGATTGATTTAGATGATTAACGTTATATATGTGACTATGATAGGGAATAAATATGAGGAAAACAAGGAGAATAGGTCCAGGTCGTAGTGATGCTTCGAATGCACAAGATGTTCCAACTGCACCTAAAGCTCTTAACCCAGCAACTGCTACTTCAAGCGCTCTGGGTTTAGATGTTGTAACATTGGAGCATATGATCCAGGAGGTTGTTAATAGAGCTTTAAGGAGAACCCCATCGAAAAGTACAAGTACTCCGATGACAACAATGACAACCAATGTGGTACCAAGTCAAGCAATAGGGACGAGTACCTCAAAAGCAATGGTTCTTCCAAAGCAGATTGAACCGATTTATGGCCTCTCAAGTAAACATCAGCCTCCAGAATTTAGCGCACTAATGATCCAGTATTAGCAGAACAATGGATCAAGTTGGTGGAGAAAGCTGCTGCTCTATTTAGTCTAAACTTGACTTACACAATCAATTAATCAATATTAAAAATGATCAAGCTATAACATTGATTAAAGATTGAATAAACAACAATGAATGAAACTAAGATTGCATTGAATTGATTAAACAAATAACTTAGATTAAAAATATAGAGTATTCTAATTAGGCTACATAGGATACACTAGATAAGCGGTTAGTTACACATAATTACAAGAAAACAAACCTTAATCTTACCCATAACCATTTAGATCAAGAATTAACAACAAAAATCAAGGTTTTGTTCCTTGGCTCCCAAAAACCCCTACCCAATTTTTTACAAAGTTTGAATACCTAAAAAATGAAATAAGTTTCCCTTTTATAGTTTTTTATAGGTAAGGACATTTTTGTAATTAATATAAGGCAAATCAAGGTTGGAAAATGCGCATATTTTGCATTCTACTTGAACTACGCCTCGGTGTGATTTCTGCCGATTTGTGCTTCGACAAAAACCATTCCACACCGTGGCACAGGATGAATCACGCCGCGGTGTGCACTGGGTTTTGCCGATTTGTGCCACGATGCCATAAATCTATGCCACAACCAACTAGAATTGCGTTGATTTGTGCCATGGCATAAGAAAATTATGTCGCAGTGCAACCTTGAAGTTCCAATTTTTCATCTTCATGTTTTGATTCATTCGCACTCTAATGTGTCCCGATGGTTCGAACATCAGTGCACGTATGAATAATCAATTTTGCATCTAAATTTCTGAAAACACATACAACCCCGTGATTCTTGAAGATAAAGAAACATGCAAGGAATTCCATACAAAATAATGCATTAATCAAACTCACCAAATCACTAAATATATATGCATTTTTGACACTGATCACAACCCCCAACTAGATTATTGCTAGGCCCTAGCAATTAAAGCGATCTAAAATAAAATCTAATCCTAACTAAACTATCTTAAACTAAACCACTTCCATAGGTTTTCATGATTACATTTAGCGTATGCAATAAGCCTTGAAACCCGTAGGTCCCCATAGTGGGCGAGTTATAGTCTCGTGAGGGTTTACAGTGATGTTACCCACAAACATCCTATAAGTCCTAACACGCATATTTACAAGACAAAAATTTCCCAGATTAATCAATAGATGTGTCTCATACATCGCATACACATATAGTCAACAGAATAAGCAATCATTACTCACATCTAAGAACACCCTAAATATCAGTTTCACCTTCATTCTCAACTCTCTCACACTAGTCAATTCCACAATCCACTAATCCTAGCCCTAGAGGTAGTTCCATATGCAACTTCCATAAGGAAAAAATTTTGATCCCATAAATATGAAAACTCTAAAAACATAACTCCATAGGTCTACTTTTCAGATCACTCTCCACTAATATAGAACAAACACACAACTTAAGATCATTAGGATTTAATAAGCTTGTAACATTAGGCTAAGGTATTGGGTTATGAAAGAATGTAAAAGATTCAAGCAATTAAGAGGAATAATCTTACCTTTAAAGAGCATGATCACTTAAAACAACTCATTCTCTCAAACCCTTAAACCTTTATTTTATTGCATCACTCTTCCCAACCACAATCAAATATGTACCCTTTTCATAATTTTTTTTTTTTTTTAATGCTAATTAAAACCAGAATTTTAGGAAGCATGAATAATACCAAATTTCTCTTTTTATCCCTGATAATCACAACACACAACAATCCCCAACCCGTTCTTTCGAACACCTTCAAAATTTTATAACATTACTCTAAGCCACACACCTTTTGACTTTCATAAATTTAGATTAAATCCTCTTAAAAGATATCATAGGTAGGAAAATGTGTTTAAAGGTTATACAGGACAGGTTATTAAGGGATAAAAGAAAGAAAATCAAGGCTAATATATTCAGTATAAGCACAAAGGGGTGACTAAGGATAAAATAATATAGGGTTAGCTTGAAAAGTACAAACTATCCAAAAAGAGCCTAAGTCATTTCATAAATTATGCGTTGTCTAGGATTTTGCCTCAAGTGGCCATCAAATAGGTTCTAGAATTTGGGGGATCTCATAATGTCATAGGAAGATTACACACAAAACATCTCTAAATGCTAGAACTAACGAACCAAACAAACCATATTCCTGAGAGTTTCAAACTACAACAAAAACAACATCCAAAATAATTCCCAAATTAGGGTAAAAGCTAACTTCTTCTAGACTCTACATCTCATTCCAATCTTGTTATATCATAGACATATAAAGTAATCTAGGAAACACAAATTCCCACAAACTAAAAAAAAAAAATTACAGGCATATTTCATAACTTCCCCACCCCAACCTAAATCCTACATTGTCCCCAATGTAGCCATCAAAACAAAGAAGAGGTAAAGGGAAAGAAACAAGTTACCCCCCTTGATTAACAAGTCGTAAAGTACCGAAAGTAACTTCATTGAATGCACATCCTGTAATCAACATGAACATCTATCAACACAAAAAAATGAACACATGGTGTCTTTGGAATAGAATCCATGTTGTCTGTTAATCATCATGAGTTTGTGGAAATGGAAATAAACAAAAAGCAAGAAAGATATGAAATCAACAACTGTAGTAAATAAAGTTTATACAAAAACCAAAAACATAAATGAAAGCAATAAACAAACAATTTAAACAAAACACTTAATGAAATAAAATAATAAAAATAAAACAAACAAAAATAAAACAGGAACATGAATAAAAAACTCGAGTTGCCTCCCAAGAAGCGCTTGTTTAACGTCTAAGCTAGATAGAATGCTCGGTCTTATCGATCAAGGAGGCATCCTCAACTCTACATTAGACGTCCTTGGTATTGTGCCATCAATGGCCTCTAAATACACCTTTGCCTCTCCATCATTAAATTCACTGTCTTCGGCAATCCAAGCTAACTCCAATTTCTCTTCTATCTCATGCTACAAAAAACGAGAAAAAGTAATTGGGTCCAAAGAATCAACAAGAAAACACTCATTAGCTTTAGAAGGTGAAGACAGAGAATTAAAAACTAAAAATTCCACAGTTTGATCAAGAAATGTCATTTTTAGTTTCCCATTCTGAATGTCAATGATTGTCTTTGTTGTGGCAATGAAAGGACGCCCTAGCAAAATAAGCAACTCACTACTATGGTCTGACGTCTCTCTATATCTAACACCACAAAATCTGTAAGAATAATTAGTTTATCACCTTGAACTAAAATATCTTCAACAATACCTCTTGGATAATTCATTGAACGATTGACTAATTGCAAGGTCATTGTTGTAGGTTTTAGTTCTCCCAATCCCAACTACTGATACATTGAATACGACATAAAGTTGATGCTTGCACCCAAATCCAACATGGCTGGCTTTTCCTTTTTATTACCAACAGTAACGTTGATAATAAAATTCCCAGGATCTTTAAATTTAGGTGGTAATCTACTTTGCAACACTGCACTCACTGTCTTAGAAATCAGAACTTTCTCATAAGGCTCATACTTACGCTTTCGTGTGTTCAGCTCCTTGAAAAACTTTGCGTATGCCAGCAAGTTCCTAATCATGTCAAGCAAGGGTAAGTTCACATTAACCTTAGATTAAATATCATAAATGTCAGAAAACGACTTATCCCATTTGCTTTTAGTCAAACGACTCGGAAAAGGCATAGAAGGAACATAGGGCTTAGGTGGAACATATGGAGAATCAATATCTTCACTCTGAATGGGTGCACTCGGTTGCTTCTCCCCAGTTCTGTCTTTCCCTACATGATTAATTAAAGGCTCATTAGTTTTAGAATTAATCTCCTTGTTAATTACCTTACCACTTCATAGAACTGTGATTGCATTTGCTTGCTCAGGTTGGCTTGGTAGTTTCCTAGGAACATGGCCTTGTAATGCTTCTGCTATTTGTCATATTTGAACCTCCATCTTCCTTATGGATGCATCATGCTGTTGGAATCTCTGTTCAAAGTTCTGATTGGTCTTTTGAGACACTTAAATAAAGTTATTTAGTGTTTCTTCCTATAAAGGCTTTTGCTATTGCATATTGTGATCATAAATCCCTTGTTGCTGATTATTTCTCCAAGAAAAATTGGGATGATTTCTTTAACTAGGATTGTAAGTGTTTGAAAAAGGATTATGCGGACTTTGATTGTTAAGAATTCATCATGTTGGCTTGTTCCACAAATTCTGGAAAATTCTCACTAGAAGGACAAACATTAGTCGTATGACCAACATTACCATAAATAGCACATACCACTTTAGAACCTCTCTACCCTTTTCCCTTCATCATGTTGCACATGGTCTTCATTTGCCTGGTCAACTTAGACACTTGCATTGCCAACTCAGTGTTAGCACTTACTTCATAAATTCCTTTTGATTTTCCTCTAACACTTTTCTGCCATGAATTGGCTCCAAGCATCTTATACAACCCGTAAGTCTCTTGTGCAGTCTTTTCGCCCATGGCACTACTTGTAGCATTATCAACTGTGGCTTAACAAGCCTATGTCAGTCCATCATAGAAAAATTGATTCAACAATTCTAAAGGAAATCTATGGTGTGGATATTGAACTAAAAGCAATTTAAAATGTTCCCAGGCTTCATGGAATGGTTCACCTTCAATTTGAGAGAAAGCGGCTATTTTACCTCGTAGTTCAATAGTCTTTGTATGAGAGTAGAATTTACCTATGAACTTGTTGTAAATTGTATCCCAGGTGGTGAGTGAAGTGGTGTCAAAGACATGAACCAACTCTTTGCTATATCCTTCAGCATGTATGGAAAGCATCTCAACTGCAATTGATCTTCATTTAAATTTTTCAAAGGAAAAGTTTGAACAGTTTAGTAAAAATCACGAATGAAAGTTAAAGGATCCTCTGTGGCTATTCCATGAAATGAAGGAGGCATCTAAAAGTGAATGTTCTTCAACTCATAATTCCTTGCGGCGGTACTTATGACTATGCAAGAAGGCGACGTTCCAATGGTAGGACATGCGTACTCCTTCATAGGACGAGGTATGTTGGCCATTTCTTCTTCAAATTCAGAATTTGATTCAAATGAATCTTAAGAAATCTCTGGTTCCCTTCTCTTCCTACCAATCAAATTCACTCTATCAAAGTAAGGAAACACTTCTTCATCCAAAGATTGGCGACCTTGCATTCAAGAACTAACACACCAAAGACAATAGGAACAAAAAGGTAATCCAAATAAAAATAAAACAAAAAAAAAAGTAAAGATCAAAATAACAAAATTAAAGCACAAGTTATCAAAGAAAATTGACTAATTTTCAATTCCCCGACAACGACACCTAAAACTATTAGGATAGTTGCACTAGAGCCAATAATATTAGACTGTTGTAATAATATTATTGAATATCAATAAAGGCATAAATTCTATATCATAGCATTCATTTTTATATTCATATATAAATTGATATATGTCCTTAGAACGGTTGAACTATGATGAGGGAATTAAGTATTTTAAATCTTAATTGTGAGAACCTTATGATCACATATGGTGAGCATTCTAGAACTGTCTGTAGCCCCAGTGTTAATTTGAACAAGGGCATGGATTATACAATAAGGCTATCATAGCGTTGAAGGACTCTACCGAAAGGTAGTGACAGTTCTCACATGTCAAGGTTGTTAGGTAACAACCTGGTACATTGCATGGGTGCTTGTTAATGACAAGTTCACTGGACCAACCTACTAGAGGATTCCACACAAGATGGTAATGCCAGTGTCTGTGGAATATATCCTCTAACAGATGGTGGTGTATGTGATCCTTCGACTTGAGATCACCAAAGCACCGTGTGTAATTATTGATTTAATTTGACACTAGCCTAACATAGTCTTATTTAGGGTTATCAATATGTTAGTCATTGGTTGCATCGAGAAGTACACTATGGCTATGGTAGATCAACAAAGGATTCATCACTCCTGGTTACAGGAGAAATTATCTCACTAAGATATTTGGTTAGGAACTACGACTGCAAAATTTGTGGCCATAATGGAATCAAGTCGATGCTCAAATCCAATTTTATATGGTCATTGATTTGACAACCGAATATAAACATATCAAGGCAAATTTATTTAAGTTGACACTACTTACATACTTCAGACCTTAATTAGATAAAGGATAATAAAATGATTTGAATAGCACGGTAATCATACTGTTAAAAGGTAGCATCTTCGCTGAATCTTTATTTGTTGGGTAATCATGATGCCTTGCTAGAGGCCAATCTTGATTGGTGTACAGAACACTAATTAGTTGATGCTTAATTATGGATCCGGTCACTACCAACATAATAAAGAGCCTATAGGTCACATACATTAAAGGCAGTTTTATTGAGAATAAAGATGGAAGGGTAATTTCATCTTTTAAATGAAATGGGTATTTTGGTAATTTTTCTGTGCAATTAAATTTGTTGAGGTCATTGCCAATGTTCAATATTTATATTGAAATAATTTTAGCTAAATTATAGAGCATGTTAATATTAATTTAAAACATTCATATTAAATGTGTAGTATATATATTTATATTTAATTGAATGAAATATAGATTAAATATATATTAATAAAATACTAAAAGGGAAATAAATATTAATATATTTATTTATTGGTTATTCCAAAAGTGGAGTAAGAATAATCCTATTCCAATTTAGGTTTAGGAATATTCCCCACTATAAAAGAAAGGGTTTAGGAGAAATTAAATATAGTCCATATTTTTCTCCCGAACCAAAACCCTAGCCACCCTCCACATTTTGAGAAAGAATTTCTCTCTCAATTTTTCATTCAACAGCTTGCAAACAGAGTGTCAAGCAAATACGTTGATTGTGGATTAGACATCTAATAATCATATTTTACACTATGATTTTGCATTGAATTTTGATAGGATTTATGATGCTTTTCATACAGTTTGGGCCATAATTGCTACCTAATTCTATTAATTTGTCTTTGCAGGCCTAAACGATGATTTTGAGCATAAATGACAGTTTTGAGCGTAAATTGTGTACCTTGAGCTTGAAAACTCGGAATGACCTGAATTTAGAAGCTTTGGAAAGCTAAGAAGAAGAGCTAAAACTTTCATGTTTTGGATTTTTCCTAATTCTGACTAGACAAGGGTGAAAACTTGGCTTGAAATCGTGAAAAGTACGCCGGAACTAAAGAAAAAACGTCTTTGGACGTGCTTCAGTATTTTTACCATAACTTGAGCTGTAGACCTCAGATTGTGCTGATTCTTGAACGAGATAATTGAAAGGGCTACAATTCATATGTTTAACACTTTTCCAGACTTAGACTCTATCATGCTCAAATTTGGCCTGAAAGTCCTCGCCGCAGCAAGGAAAAAGCTTCGCCGCGGCGAAATCTGCATCAGATGTAAAAATAAAACGACGCGTTCTGGCTTGGTAGGGCTTCATCCTTAAGTGAGAGAGGTATAAATTAGAGCAAAAAGGAAGAGAAAAAGAGCTTGGTTCGTCATTTGGGAGGCAGCTCATGGAAGGAGAAGATTATTGAAGATTTGGGCTTCAAATTAGAGAAGATTTCTCCATCTTTTGCTTATTTTTCAATGATGAATCTTGATTCAGTTGGTTTTTGTTATTTTATTTTGTTTTTGAGTATGAACTGAGTTGTTTAGCTAGGGTTTGACGTGACCTTGATACAATGATTCAAATTTATATGAATTGGTTTACTTTGAGTTTTAATTTCATGATTGAGTGTTTATCTCTTTGCTTAATGACTTTTAGATGCTTGATCACCATTCAAATGTGTGTTGTTCACAATGAGATTGAGAAGTGATTTGTGATTGTGCCTCTTGGGATAAATACCGTAGATTAAGCAAATGCTAGAGATAGGTTTATCGATCTATGAAATCTAGATAGAATTCCATAAAGCTTAAAAGACTTTGAACTATTAATCTTCATTTTATTGGGTGCGGAAGCTTAATAGGGATAAGTAGGGAAATGTAGCCTGAGAAGGTATGTTTTACAACTTAGGGAATTCGATTTTCAATCAAGGAATTAGAACTTGGATAATAGATTCTATGAATTGGGTTAGCGTATCTAGGTGAAATCAACACCCTAGCAATTTTTAGCATTGTTTAATTAGTTAAGTTGTTGGGTTTTGCTTTAATTTCATTATCATTCATTTCTATTTTGTTAATTTGTATTTAGTTTGTTAATTTTCCATCAATCCAATTTATTGTTGCTTCAATTAGGACTTAAACTAGAGAAATCGGTACGTAGTAATACTATCCTCGTGGGAACGATACTCACTCATAACTTTATTACTTTGTGCGACTAGTGCACTTGCTATTTATGCATGTTGTAGTAACAACGCATCAAGTTTTTGGTGCCGTTGCCGGGGATAGTTGATTATTAATATTGATAGTATCTAGTCTAGTGCTAAATTGAAGCTTTTATTTCATTTTTTTTTTTAGTTAATCGTAAATATTGTATAGTCTTAAGTATGAGAAATGACATTACCTCTTTCGTGCAAGGCAACGATGAATCACTATATGAAGCTTGGGAGAGGTACACGGAGTTGTTAAGGAAATGTCCACATAATGGTCTACCGTTTTGGGGACAAGTCCAAACATTTTACAATGGGTTGCTACAAATATTCAAACGATGGTAGATGTGGCAACAGGCAAAGCCTTAAATAACAAGACCCCAGAAGAGGCTTATGAATTGCTTGAGGTGATGACCAACAATGACTACCAAAGACCTAATGAGAGAGCAATGCCGAAGAGAACAATGGGTCTACATGAAGTCGACGTGTTCGACACATTATCTACACAAATTGCATCACTTCAAAGCCAATTGGGAGGTATGAGTGTAAATTCTATTCACTCACCCTTTATAACTTGTGAATTTTTTGCAAGAAACTATGGGAGTGTAGGATGCCAAGATGGAGACCAGTTACTCTTCTCAACAACTGAGCAACTGAATTACATGATTTGTTCACAAAGGCTGCAAAATGACCCATTTTCCAACGCTTACAATCTTGGTTAGGGGAATCACCCAAATTTGTCCTTGAGTAATCAAAGCAGTCAATCAAATCAAAGGACAGTGCCAAACCATCAACCAGTGGTGAATCATCAACCATGTGAGCAAAGAATGTCGAAATTGGAGGATATGTTTGGGAAATTCATGCAAGAAACCACAAGATTTATGAATGAGACTCGCTTAAACTTCAGAAATCAAGGAGTGTCCATTCAAAATTTGGAGGTTCAAGTAGCGCAATTGGTTGAAGAATTAACAGAGAGATCTCAAGGTTCTTTGCTAAGCATAATGGTCACAAATCCTAAAGAACAATTAAATGTCATAACATTGAGAAGAGGTATCGTGTTGGAGCAACCTCACAATGAAGAAAAGTTGGAAGAACATGAAGACAAGATTAATGAAGAGGAAAAGCTCAAAGCAAAAAGGTGTGCAAGATACTTAGGGGAATTTCAACCAAGCAACTCGCCTCGCAAGGAACAATTTGAGGAATTTGGTGTAAATGTGCACAAGTCACAATTGGTGTTGGAAGAGACTCCAAACATTGGACTAAACCAATCACCATCTCATCTCAAGTACGCATATACGAATTTGAAGTTCCAAAAAGATGCTTATGAGAATGTTCGAAATTCCAAAGGAAATACCAAAAGGTGGCAATG